TTTGCTAACAGCTCATAATTGAGATCAAGAAAGTTTTGTAAGACACGAGTTAAAGTCATGCAAACACTAGGCCAGTAGGCTTCCGCCTATCGTCCTACATATTTCAGATATGTCTCTACTCCAACATGTTTGAAATCAATGCATTACCTCCTAAGCAAGCATCAAGTGCTAAAGAAGTGGAGGAAAAACCTAGAATATATTGGAAAGTGGGTCGTGAGGAGCAGGGTTGTAGACTGAGAAACCAAAGGAAAAGCATGAAAATCTTTTTTTAAATCGTTATTATTATTTACAGCTTGTTTTATCTTGATACCAGTAATAAGCTAAAAAAAACTTATATAGTCTTTAAAATGAAAGCAATCGCCCAGTTTTAATTTTCTTCCAACTTAAAAACAAAATCTTTAGTAGGAACTCTGCTCTCAATGTTTAAACATTACATTATAATGGGGTTGAACCCCTTTTCAAAAATAACTGGTTAAAAGAGCTTCAGCTCAATCTTTTCTCAGAAATCCCTTTAAGCTATCATAAGACGTTTTTCAAATGATCAGGAATTACCTGTATTACTTTAAAGGATAAAGAGTTTGAGAACATTAGTCTTTCCAACACTGCCTTGTCCCTGTGGAGCCGGACATATATTCTCCTAAAAGAACTGAGGGCTTTTTTTGTAATGGGCTATAACAAAGAGTTATGGATATGAGATGTCAGCGAGATAAGACTTGCCACTGAACTGTGCAAACGGCAATGCCGGGCTTTGTCCTCACCAAAGATATGAAGACACATAGAGAGAGGGAGATGTAAAGAGAACTATCTGTCAGGAATATCTTCACTAATTCCTTTTTCTCAAAAGCTGCTTTAAACTAATTAAGGCCTTTGTGAAATGTGAGGGGTGCATACGTAATAGCCAGAGTGGCATGACATAATAAACAAGCACTTTACCTTAGCCCTTTTCTGGTCCGGCATTAAAATTGAGCTACTGCCTGGAATCTAAAATCTCTCTGCGGTGTTACAAATACCAAGAGCCTGTAAATGAAAACATTATTTTAACCACTTTAGAGGGTTTGTGTAATTTAGTCGGTAGATTACAATTTTCTAAAGTGCTACTTAAATGCTTCACTTAAACTGCTGATTCTCTTTCTAGCAGCACAACTGGAAAATGTTCACCTCACAGTAGGATTATAAATTGATTCATAGTATGGAAAAAAACAAACAAAAACAAAGCAAATTTAATAAAAAAAATGACTTATTGCTTGGGACTACAGTCTTAAACGCAGTGGTTTCATCCGGGTAATATTCCAGAGGGCTATTCCTTATATCTGTTTCCCGATTGCTGGCAGTGGTCAGCATTGAAATTTAATTAGGGTAAGCACTTTACCACTAACCTCATCACTTCCTGTATAATGTAAGTGCCCAGCATTCCTATTATAGGACAATCTGGTTATATGTTCATTGGATATGAGCTGACTTAAGTATAGCCCCAGCATGATTTTATTAACTAATCGGATACTGCATTGTTCTTAGATGATTTGTTTTCTTTTATCTCGGATGCTTGAACACATTATCCCTAGAAGATTAGAAAGAATTAGGGGTACTTTAGCTGAGCCAGTAGAATGGATCCGCACCGTGCCACCTCTGTAATGGTGCAGGAAACTGCCTCGTTTCCATGTGGAGAAAGTAAATGCTAACAAGCCAGGAACAGGCAGGGGAAAGAAGTTGCAATAATATGAAAACCTTACATCCTGCATGCAGCTAACCCACTTCAGGGCAAGGGTGGGATATTAAATCTCATATGGGAAATCTTGCTTTTATGGGCATGACTAATATCGCACGCTGCAGCTTAGATGCATTTTCCTTCCAATACTTCAGAGGCGGATAAATCTGCAAGCTGGGCTACATATTTAGCAGACATTTGGAACATATAATCCTGCAGCTGATTCTACTGATAACCTGCACATAAAACATATTTTGTCCTCTTTGGTATTAATAAAAAAAGCTTCCCAAACATCTTGTTTGCCAGGTGGAGGTGAGAGATGACTAAACCTGTAGCACCCCGCTGTTCTGGAAGATGGATATACCAGAGGTTAGACGTTGCAAAGCTGCTGAGCCTGTTGAACAATTAATCCTGTATCAAATGAGAAATATGCACCCCCGCCAGTTCCCTGCATGTGCCAGCTGGTGTGCTTTGCCTCTCCCTGGTTTATTTCTGCTAAAAATAAGGATGTTGTCAAACATAATATGAGTCATTTGCATAGACAAAAGAAACTAGAGCAACAATTAATGTGCTGCCGCACTTCAGGATGATTCTGTTTTTACAAGTTTAATCTGGTTGAAGTTTAAAATCTTGTTAGAAGCATGAGAAAATGTTTCATATTGTGAAAGATTTCCATTAAAAAAATACAAAGTCCTACTTTCTTCTTGTTTAATGCTTATATATTTGAACAAGACAATTAAGTTCAGGTCAGACAACTGTAAATCATACAAGGTTCTGTCTGGCATTTGAAAATAAATCACTGTTTATTAAAAATGCAGAAATAAAATGTTTCCCAGTTTTGATCATCATCATAATATTGTTGCTTATTAGTGTTGAAGCTTTATTAGGAAACAGTATCCAAGAAAGCAGTTTAAAAAATATCTATCTTTTTTCACATCCTTCTAATATCTTATTTGCTGCTGATGCAAGCAGAGGGAATATAAAAAAGAAAGCAATGAAAATAATATTTAAAGTTTTTTTTTTTCTTTACTTAATCAAGTGCTGTGGAAAGATTTTGCTCTACACCAGATTCCTTCTGTGTCTACTTATTTTTTAACACAATTTCTCTTAAACAATGAAAATATTGATTAACTAGTGTTGAAATCATGCTTTTACTTATAAATAGAAAAAGCTATAACAACTAAGCATAGACCTCTGGCAAAACATTTTCATTCTTTTAATAATTAAAAGGTTGACTGGAAAGCATCCAGTTGTCGTCTTGTAATATATATATATATATATATATATATATATATATATATATATATATATATATATATATATATACTGTAAATGTCCAAAAGCACATTTATAAAAAAAAAAAAACTACTAATTGGTGCACAGTTTTTGTATAAAACATATTTTTATAACCAATAAGTTAATCTATATGTGTTATCCCACATGGCATTCATGTAACGATATAGAAATTTGGGCCTAAAGACTGATAATAAAGGAAACAGATACACAACGCTAATTATTGCCAACTGATCCATTCTTATAATCAATTATTTTGCATAAAACAAGAATAGTTGCAACACACTTTATCAAAATGCTCTTAATGTTTGTAAATGACGGATGCATACATCTGTATACATTGATCTTGATATAGGTGTTTTCGTTTGATCACATCCCAATTTTGACCAAATGTCCCCCTTAATTCCCAAAGCTGCACATCATACAAAGTCTTTCATTTTATCAAGCACTCTTTTAAAAAATGAAACCTTCTTAATTGCAATAAGAGCATAAATATTTTAAAATTAGATCAGTTAGTGATAGCATATCTTTACTTTAGACAGTTTTATGGTTTTGGACAGAGTTGTTCTTCCCTGCCTGATTAACATTTGCTTTTCTATATCCTCTCAGCTCACGAAGGCTCTGTATTGATCTTTCCTTTACCTGATTTCTAATGAAACAAGGTGTCCGGCTCATTCCCCCGGTGTCCCCACCGCTATCATAAAGGATAGTTAGCACAGCAGCAACCAATTGATCACTCCTTTTGGCCATTTGATCCCCTTCTTTCACGTCTTTCTGGTGGTCTGCATCACCAGTAACTTTAATGACCGTCTGAGACTTACATTCTGCTAATGAGCAGATGGATCGGCACATCGATCTGAATGCTGCAGTCTAGAAACGCCCAATTACCTTAAACAAACAGTACAGGGACCAGCCAGAGAAGCAAAGTACAATTGAGCTCATGGAAGAAATGTAGATAGCAGGGAACCTGAAGAGCAGAACCTGTTATGCAATGCAAATTATATTGTGTCACACTGTGAATCTGCTCTTCACAGTTTGTCAGCATGAATTTAAAGTAGCGCAAAAAACAAAGGCTTTGAAATCCTGCACTGCAAGTACAACAGAAAAACTGAGCCAGCAGCTGCATAGAAAGTAACCTGGTACCTGTGGCTCTCGCGCAGGGCTTCCTTCCCCTTCCTCCACGAGATCACACCACGAGGAGACATCCTGGGCTTGCATTCGATGAGAACGTCGCCACCCTGTCGGGCTAAGGTTTGGGCCTTCAACGGGTTTTGGGAGAAGTCAGGAGCAATGGCTACAAGGAGGGAAGTCATTGAGAGGAAGGTTAAATTCATTGATCAAAGTAAAATAGAAAGAGAGGAAATGGAAGCAGAGTGATTAAAGAACAGAGATAAAGAGACATGAAGGTTGCTGCATCAATTAGGCAGGTCAGCACTCACTACTGCTCTATGTGAGCATATATGTTCTTGTTGGTACACTTTTAGAGACATAAATGGAGCATAGTGCATCATTTTCAAAGGGTGCATTTATTTGTATCTTACTGGACTGCTGATTCTTTAGATGGACATCATGCATTAAGATTTAAGCCTGAGGGCTGTAACGGCAAAATGAAAGAATGCAAAGACAAGGATGAGGTTTTGTTGCTGTTTCATCAGACCCTTAATTACTAATGCACCATCGTCTGAAGCAGTTTTAGACGTGCATCGACTCAGCAAAAAGCTCTTCAAAGTGAACACACAGCATGGCATCAAGGACAGGGTGCACATGCTGCATCCAATTGACAATAAACACGGAAAACTAGGGAATATTTTTTTTTTTTTCATCAAACTTGTAGTACTTTTGTAAGTCATGTAGGGATTAAAAAAATAATAATGATTCATCTAAAGAAAAACATAAAGTAATAAAGCACAGAACTGTGGGAGTGAAATATTCAAGGTTTTAAAAATAGTTTTTGAATAACCTTATAAAGATGTAATTTTTTCAAAACAAATAAAAAAAATACTGTTGCTTAATGTTTAAAGATAGATTATTTGAAACAAGAAGGTTGACTTGCCTATCAGAAAAATGTTTTTTAATTCACTTAAAGCTGTATTATTAATGTCTGAAGTGGCTCTTACAGGCGTCTAATACTTTACGAAAGCCTTGATGTCAAACTGTCACAGCTAAGTGCTTAGACTGCATCAACAAAGATAGAAGGGGATTTTTATGCAGCAGTTGGAAAAAATCCTCCTCTGATGAAATATTTCAAATGCCACTTGCCTGGGGAATATCTGCACAACAATAAAGACTGATATGTTTCACTTTCCTTACTGAGGTCGACATACTATATTTGTACTGTACAAGCACCTGTTTTTAGCCCATTTCTTAAATACTCTACAGACCTGAAGTTTGTCAAACGTTTCTACATTAATTAGGCCAGAGCAGTGAAAAACGCTGTAAAGGCCTATTGTATCTGTAGTGTTTATGATTTTTTTTTTCTCCTGAAAAATTAATTGCCTATTTGGAAGCATCAACATATTCAAAAACTCTCCAAACTTTACAGTTAATTTCCCCCGAACAGATATGTCTGTTTTTTAATGGAACTGAAAATAGGCGTGGCCAAACGGCTCTACAGCGCCACCAAATGAAATGGGCTTTGAATTTTGGTAGCCTACACATGCAGTCTCTTGGAGGTATGCTCTAAAACACAACATATGTTTGGCCACTGAAGGTTTTTTTTTTGTTTGTTTTTCAACATTTGTTTATGCAATACTGTACGTGTCGTTTGGATATAGTTAACACCATTGAACTTCCATTGTTTCAGAGAGCAGCAGCCAACATTGTCTACAAGCTACTGTCTCTTATTTTGAAAACTTACCAGATCGCAAAGCTTGACTTTCTGTGTGGTTGATATGGTTTTAGGGATTGACACGTTTTGATGTAGCATCTGTCACAAATAGGCCAATTCATGCTTCTGACGCATAGCCTCTGCAACAGTCAAATCTGTCTCCTTGTGATTGGTCCTTGGTATGCCTCTCCTGCTGTCTGTGTGGTCGTCTTTCTCGATTTGGTGCCACGGCACGCCATTTTTAAAAACTGAGGAACAACTAAACAACAACTACGACAAAGCTTAATCCAGGAGGTTCAGAAGGACAAACCACTTGTACGATGCCTCAGACAAATTATATAAAGGTTTATTAATTGTTTTATTTTTCGGTGTAACAAAAAAGCATATACCGAGCCGAACCGAACCGAAAACCGTGACCACAAAACCATGAACCGAACCGAACCGTGGATTTTGTGAACCGTTCAACCCCTAATATATATATATTTATATATACACATATGGAAAACTTGTAATAAATGCTCTTACAAATCATATGTGGGTGTCCAGAGACACATTATGTGTGCTACCCTTTTGGGCGCGGTCTTACCAATGACTCTGAGCTCAGCGTTGGTGAATATGCGGCCATGTTTGTTCTCAGCCACACACTGGTACATTCCAACGTCGGCCAGATTCAACCTGCTGATCGTCAGCACGCCATTATTCACCTGAATTTTGTCCTGTTGAAAGTAAACACAAAAATTCACAATAAGATGTATTGAAAAAGCTTTATTTATCACAATTTAATAAGCTGTAATACACAAAAAAATGGGTTAAAACAAGTGAGGGGTTTTTGCTGGATATTTACCTAATGTCATATTGAAGTTTGCTATGCTGGGGGTATAATCTAGTGAGCAGTCAAAAAAAAACAAAAACATTTTTGCTTTTTTATGTATTCCTTATTTATTTTACATGTATGTAGTCTTTTGATCTCCGTAATATCTAAATCGGAAACGTATTGACGCATTATATTCAAAATTGATTTTGTCGATACTACGAAGCGACTGGCATCCAGCTCAACTCAGACTCCAATGGCAACTCCATAATGGCATACAGTAACGTTAAAAACAAGTATGAGTGTGGGAGATAGTGAGATGATCGTGAGATGAGATCGTGCTGAGTAGTGGTGCAAGTTCAGATTATCGGAGTATCATTAGAAAACTGCAATGCCTTTTTAAATACGTCTCTATTTCAATGGCTATATTGCTGGGCTAAAGGTTTTAAATTATTGAGATCACTTCAACTTTTCAAAATCTTCAATGTAGCTACATTACTTCAATTAATAGTTGTTGTTTTTTTGGCATGGACTAATACAAATGTTTTAGATAACTCTAAAGTGGAAAAAACACACACAGGTTTTGCTCATTTTAGAGGTTTTTGACACATCTGAATAAAATCAATTACAACCAATTATCCTCACAAGGCCAGATTTCTTTAAAAAAAAATTAGAATTAAAAAAGAAAAAAACAATTAAGGAATAAACGTCAAGCTTCAAAGCAACTTAATGAAATTTAAGACCTATGTTTTCTCTTTTTAAACCCTGTAGATGTTTTTTCCAAGAGGTATTTTTGCCAGGTTTTGTGCTGTGAGATAGTTTTACTAGGCAAGTATAAAACTGATTTATAGTATCTGGACATTGAGTTTATGCTAAACTCAAAGTCCTTTCTTTCCTTTTGTAGCTTTTTATTTATCTATCACTTGCGGAATGTGTGATAGATAAATAAATAAATGCGGCATATGACATGTGAAAACACTTATGTTGTAAGAAATAATTTTATAAAGCCAAAAAAACAACAACACAATAGTAACACAAACTGCTATGAATTTGATAATTAAGACTTTTAATGGGTATTTTATGTTCTTCGACTGAGGTACCTTCATTTGGATAAATGCACTGATTAAATTCTAGGCTTTTACCACCATTTCCTTTTCCTTTGGGATCTTGTTAATTGAGACATTGCTTTCTAATTTTCTGCAGTCCTAATGGGCCCACGGTGGCTGTACTGAACATAACCACCTTTTGCCTGACAGCAGAGACACATTATCAAACAAAGGATGGCGTCAAATCTCAGAGGAATCAGTCAGAAAATAAACTGGGGTCCTGGAGGCTGTATGCATGCAAAAATGCAGACTCACAAAATATTGTTAATTTAAAAATAAATTAATAATTCTTTAAATGCACTTTTAGAGAATGCTTACTTATAGCACAAGCTGAACAAAGTCATCCTCTTCCCTGTGCTCCTCTGACCTTCAGAAGCTTTTGCACAGCTTTCTGCTTCCTTTTTATAGTTATGTCAATTTAACCGTGGCAGCACTCATTGTTCCTGCCCTTGATCTTTCCATTGAATGTACCTGGCTTTTTAATGTCACTGACAAAGTGGTCCAGAGGGTCCTGCCGCCAGTCTGTCTGTCTTCTTGAATCATTACAGCACTGCTACTTAAAAAGGCAAGGACTATCCCCGGACATCAGTCAGTGACACTGCTGAGGATCTTCAAATACATTTCCTGCGGAGACTAGCTCAAGCATACATCAGATGGACACTTTGGCTACACATGGTTGAGCTAGCATTGTAGGCTATGCCAGAGGGGATTATGGGTGGGAAAGGATGCAGCATTTCTCAAGTGGAACAGAACAAGACCTCCTCTTTTCTTTAGAGATAACTGGCTTTGTTTACTGAAGGGAAAAGTATGATAGAGGAAAAGGAAGTCATACAGATGCTCTCTATCAATCAGAATATTTTAAAATGTGAACTTATTTGACAAATTTCATTTAAAGACGATCTATCATGCTGCTATACAGCCAAAAGTAGTATTCCCTGCAATGAATCAGATGAACTAGACTGACATTAAAGGTTTAAAACTATTTCAATTACCCTTCACAGCTTTGACTGTTCTAGGAAGGCTTTCCATAAGGTTTAGTCGAAGTATAATTTGTTTACCTCTTTCAACTTTTGCACATTTGTGATCTTAAACACTGATGTTGCACAAAGAGACCTGGTTCTAATTAATCGGTTAATTTCAGTTGCAGTTGAAGATTCAACTGGGGCTGCAATTAATGATTTTTTCCAAATCGATAAATCTGTTATTTTTTCGATGAATTATTAGTATAAATCGAAAAAATTATAATCCGATTATTAATCAGCTCAGCTAATTATTGGATATTTGGCTAATCAGATATAGCCAAAGCTTCCTTAAAGAAGACTTTTACAAAATTAAACCAGGTGAAACAAAAACTTTTCCACTTGGGTTTTGAATAGAGCATATTGACGGATAAGGAATATAATTTTTAATCTTAAATGAATAAATGTTCAGATATTTTTTAACACTTTTGGTAGAAAAAATACTACTCTGAGTTGACTGCCTTGTCAGCTACAGCATGTTTTGGAGTCCTATACTCCAGTTAAGGAATAATCGATTACTAAATTAGTTGACGATTAATTCAATAATCAATTAATCATGATTAATCTAATTAATTGTTTTAGCCCTCGATTCACATTCAAAAAGTAAGAAGCATGACATTTTCCAAAATGACTCAGTATACTGAAGGATATAACATTATTTCTACAGACAACTCAGCAAGTAATTCCAAAAAATATAAGCTCCAGACACTTGGCAGTAGCCTAGCCTAGAAAGTGCTGAACCTCGAATAAACCAATTAATACCCAGAAAATGAAGCATGGTTTGTTACCTAAGAGCCAAGAACAGGTCTCCAGTGTTTTAGAGTCCAGCGGCAGTGTGTTTTGCTCCCCTGCCCCTTAGGATTTGCTTGATGATGTAAGGCTTGAATACAGCTGCTCAGCCTTGGAAACCTATTCCATTAAACTCTGTACTTACTATTCGGGAGCTCATCTAAAGGCTACATGATGTTTGGAGCTCTGCTGACTCTGCAGACAGCTGGCAACTCCTTCACACTATACAGTTCAGCATAGGCTGACCCCCCCTTTTTAATTTGAAATTGCCAACCACTTTGTGGTTGAGTTGCTGCCATTCTAAGCTGCTTCCATTTTGTTATGGTGCCACTTATAGTTTAAAATGGAATATCTAGTAGTAAAGATAAATCATAACTGGAGTTACTGGAAAGATTCCATGCTGCATTTATTACTGTTAATACAACAAAACAATCTATCAGCTAATCTGAGAAACCTCATGTCACATTCTCTGCATCAAACTGACCATATCAATGCATTGTTTTTTTTTTGTTTTTTTGCACCATGTTTTTTTTTCTTCCATTGTTTACATTTGATCACTGCTGCACTTTAATAAATGTAAATGTAAATGTCTGTGCATACAAAATGATGTATGAAGTCTGTGGCCAGAAGGTGATGGGAGAACATATATTGCGTGATTTGGATGTCTGAAAAAACATTTCAGACAACATATAGGCAAAGTGCCTATCTATCTTTAAATATCAAAATCTTCTTTTTTAAAATCCCACTCATCATCTCCTGCTTATTCCATCAGGATTGCGGTGCTGCATGTGTCTATCTCTGGCAGTCTATTAGTGGGAGGCGGGGGTAAAGCCTGGACAAGTCGCCAGTCTGTCACAGGCAAACACATATAACGATGCACACACACAGTTACAACTAGAGACAATTTAGAGAAACCAATTAAACTAACAGTCATGTTTTTGACTGTGGGAGAAAGATGGAGTACCCACAGAGAACCCACACATGCACAGGGAGAATATGCAAAGTCCATGCAGAAAGACCCCGGGTTCGGGAATCAAACCCAGATCCTTCTTGCTGCAATGCAGCAGCATTACAAACAGCGCAACTGTACAGCCCCCTTTATAAATTGATTTACAATAGAAATGGACATCTTGATCATATTCTAATTATTAAAATGCACCTTTACTGGGTCTAAATAGATGATGGATTGTGCTGTTTAAGACATCAGGCCAACAAAGACATAAACAGTATTTGTGGATATTTGTGTTTTGGTGCCACATTTCCAACATTTTCAACTTTATACCCAGAACAAAAAATGCCTGAGAGTCAGTGCTGGCAAAATTAACAGTAAAGCCGATTAGAGTCATTTGTCTTCTTTATCACTACCTTTAATTATGAACAACCACACTGAGATACCAGCACAATGTCAAGCTATGATGTGTGAAATCATTGACACTGCTTTCCATGATGAATATGTAATGATGTTTTTGTTGCAGCTGAAACAATTCAACATAATGACAACAGCTACATAGCAGAGGGCAACCAGAGAAGCTTGGAGGTCGGACAAAGGAAAATCGCACACTCTCGTGTACATAACTAAAGAGGGGGTAGCTGATGGCATATCGGATAAATACAAGCTTGAGTGGGTCCTTGTTTTCCGGGGTGACATTTTGAAGTGACAGCCCTCTTCTGTGCCATTTAATTCCCATGGAGGAAGGAGAAAAGAAGGTGGAGAGAGTGAGAGAATAAGAACTTAAAAAGGACCAAAGAAAGAAAAAGGGAGCAACAGAGATGGTTAGATAACAGTGGGGAGGGGAAAGAAAGAGAACTGATCCATTCTAATGAGGAATAACAAATGGCCCCCTTGGCCTCCCCCTATTCGTCCTCCTCTCTCTACAATGCTGACCTTTGGGTTTGGAAATTGATTTACCGTTGCTGCAGTTGAGAGTGGCATTTTGAAAATGGTAACACCCCACCTCATTAATATAGCCGCATGCAGAGAATATCTTACCTCGGCCACCTGCCAAAGAAATCTTTCTTGCAAAGTTATTTACAAATCAATATTAGATATGAGCAAGTGGGGCGATAAGTGTTTCAAGATTAACCCCAAAAAGGAAATGCATTTTTAAAATGACAAAGTAATTGTAGTCACTCATGGCTATCTTCCATTTAAAATTTAAAATAGAGTACTGATGGTAAGACATAATATGTACCCTTTAAACATACCAACTGAACAACACTTCAATTTTCAGCCTCATAAACTGTTTCAAAGGACGAATCAGTGAACACAACTGAGACATTGTTTTTAAAGCCTAGAACAGCAACACAATGGCAACACAAAACAAGGCAAATTGCCTAAATCCAAAATGCTCTTTGGATGATGAGGTATTTTACAGCCTCCCCCAGAGAGAAGACTTAATGATAAAATTGAGATTAGCAGATAAGCAACCGAGGACTACATTTTCAAACAAAATCCCTGCTTGATTACAGACAGAAAATGGCACCACTTTGGCATTTTTGCAAAACACATTCAAACACCCTCCACTGCTTATGCACACATGCACTTTTGATGCCAAATTTAGTCGGTAGCAAATACAAGCGTTTCAAAGTGGCATGGTTTTGCCAAGTGAAGGCCTATGAGATGGAAGCATAACTTAAATCCTGCAAATTTTGGATCCTTTGAGGAAAATAGTCCTATATTCAGATAAATCTTATAATTTTTCATCTTGTTTGTTGACAAATCTTTATATCAATTACTGAACCGTTTGAGGCTCTGATAAGAGCAGCCCTAATCTTAAAAGAAGAAGGCTTCTGTACCACTTCAACTAGCATGCAGGCATCATTCAATTACTCAGTAAAAGCATATCAAACCCTCTTATTCTTAATTGTTCTCATCAACAGGTTGATAAAATGGCTGGTTACTGAGCATTTCCTAAATATATCTTAATTGGTTGTGAGAAAATTATTATATAACAGGAGCTTTTACTTGGCATAGAAATGGTGACTTGTGGCTCATTGGAATAATCAGTCCTAGTAATGCTGATGGTTTTTTCAAGCCTTCCCCTTTACCAGTTGCTGATGTGGTGCTTGGCAAGGCACATAAGCTGCTGCTCCAGCAAATACACCATAGATGGTGGCTAACGCCATCACTCTTACTTCGCCATCTGTTAATTAAGTCAAGGAATTTAATTTAAAATGGTTTATGGCTTGAGTTTGTGAAACAATGGTCTGTATATTCTGGTAAATGTGTAATTAACAAAAATGTTTCAAAATACATGATATGAAATATGAGGAAAATAATTACATTTGATAAAACTTTTTTTTCTCCATACTTCAAATAATAAAACTGAAATAATCTGGATCAGAGAAACAAAGAGATTGAAGAGTATTTCAGTTTTTCTAAAATCAGACACCTAATTTTGAAACCTTTATATATATAGATATATATATTGACTCTTTCTGATGTCACAAGACAGTTTATGCAGGTAATGTAACTAATTTTAGTTTAAATTGTAATATTATCTCAACTTTCATATTTTACCCTCAGGTGTCCTTTATTGGTAATGGGAACCCTTTTGCATCTTACTTTAAATCCTGGATATAGAGTAAATGATCTTATGTATTCATTAATGTTTTGTATTGACTGATTGACCTGGAAGTTATTTTGAAGCCTTTATAGCAAAAAAGAAACACTACCTCCATGTGATCGAGGGGATCTCCGTTTTTCAGCCAGCGGTACGAAGGTTTGGGCTTAGCGTTGGCTTTGCATTCCCACTCAAGAGTGTCATCGATGGTCTTCTGAACATCCTGAGGCTTCTCAGTCAACTGAGGTGGAGCTGTTAGGGCACAAATATGTCACTGTCAGCAATGATGCAGATTTAAAACAAATCAGTTAAGCAACCCAGAGGGGAATTAATCCATCAAGGGAACAACTAAGGGCACAAATCCGGAATCCACTTCTAATGAACTTGGAAAACACATAAATAAATATTAAGTAAAGCTAAATAAAATTATTTTTGAAGAACGTCATGACGAATGGTTAGGCCAAAGGGAAGCTTTGGGTTTGGTTCATGATCTTGATCAATATATCTTTGCACAGTAAAAAATAAATACATTAATAAACTAGAAAAGCACTTGGAGAGTGAAGCAAGTGATGCACCATATTTTGACTTACACCAATAGCTAAAACTGGCACATGATCTGGATCATACCAAATTTTATGGAATTATTCTTCAAGGCAATTACATTGTTAAAAACAGGTTATATACAACTATAATGATGTAAAATGTATCTTGTTGACAAGAGTTTCTCTTTTTAATAATGGTGTTGTTGCATAAATCAGTATACGTAAGTGTGTTTTATAAGAACACTTGTTTGTTGGTGATTTATTCTCCTCCAAATTCCTAAAATGTCTTAATAGCATTAAAAGTATACATTGCTTTCCAGGAAATAATTACAGAATTAATACTTTAAAGAAAAATCTTCACAAGTCACACATTATAAAAAATAAAATTAACAAAATATGTCACATATTATTTAAACATGCTCATTGAAAACAAATACACTAAATCACATCCAGAAAACATTTCCAGTTATAAAAGAGATGAGTAAAAGAGGGAACAGCAAGTAAGTGGTTCCAAATGGGGAAAATTTAAAAGTATTACTGAAGGTTAATAGTTTAGTTGATTAGAAGGTACTGCAATTTAACCAATGTAACAGGGTTCTTAGGAACCATTAAACTTTAGGGTGGTTGGCTTGGGACAAAAATAAAGAGGCTGTCGAATGTTTGGTTGCTACAGACCAACATCCATGTATTTATCTTCCAATTCTGTCTTAGAATTGATCGATATCCCACAAGGTCCCGTCAGCATGACGTTAAAACAAGATTACAGATTTCTATCACCTGCCTACGAGTCAGGCTCTGAGGTTGTGAAATAGGACAAGAGTAATATCTCACAAGGACATGCAGGGCTTCAACACAGTACTGGCTGAAAAATTTTTCTAAATTTTTATTTTTTTTAGAAAGGGACATTGTACTTTTATTTTATGTAGAATTTAATATTTTTTCTCTAAAACCCTAAAAGAAAATAAAAAATTTTTTTCTTAATAAAAAAGCACTCTGCTTCTAAATAGAAATGGTTTATACATTTTTTTAATCCTCCTTCTTTATGTGTGTTTGAGCCAAAAATTAAAATAACAAAAAGTTATTCAAAATACATTTAAACCATATTAGTCTATGTAATTTTGGTGCATCAGCAATTGTTTCTTGTTTGTTTCAGATAAAGCAATTTCATGTGAACCACTAGTTTGTCCACATTTTTGTTCACATATATAATTCTATAGTTACTGAAAATAGACTGAGGCGATAAAGCGTTGATGACTTGCATGAAAGTAGCTTTTTGCGCTGCACTGGTGCTTTTTACCTGCTGTCTTTGCCTCTATGGGAGAACAGTGGCCTGAACTGAAGGCATCCTTGTTTTATTGCCTTGTATATAAACAGCATCATGATATAACATCTTTGAAAGCTTATCAAAATGTTCTCATACCTCGGAACCTCCAATACTGCGAGGAGGAATTAAAACAATGGATATTTTTTACCAGCTTATCACGATCAACATCTTGAGCCCCTGTCACACCATGACGATTTAGACCAGCGTATGCCTGACATACGAAAAATCAAACAAAAAAGCTGGCATACATTGGGTAAGTTATAGGTACTTTATGTATAAGTTATGAGCACACTGAAAAACGCTGAAACACACTGAAAAAATCTAAACAATTGTGTTAAAGTAACTAAATATGATTAAGTAAATGCCAAAGGGTGTTGCATTATTTTTTTCAGCATAGAGCTTGCTAAATATGAATTGTCCAACAAGATCAGGGGTCTTATTTACGAGGCTGAAGTTCACATGCAATATGCAAAAGTTGTGCTTTTTAAAACAAACTTGGTGGAAAAATGTGTGCTACAGACATTTTGGAGAAATGTAGTGGCACAGATGGTGTTTGAGGGGAACTGAAGCCAGATTGCATTTCTCTCAGACTTTTATTGTCACTTCATATGAAACTTTAATTGTAGATCGACTTTAATGGATCCCCAAACCGCAGTGTGATAAATGCCATCACTGCTGAGCTGACCCGTCACAAATGAAACAAGATTCATAAGCATTAAATTCACAATTCTAACTCCACACACATTTAAATGTTTCCACAACTTTGCATTCCTTTCTCCAAAGATCAAGAGGGTGAGACATTCCCAAGATCAAGGTATTCATGTAACAAGGTATGAGGAATTCACAGAAAATGCTGTAAAAATGTATTACTGGACAAACAGAGGAATTAACTATGATGTAAACTTTGGAAATGAGATATTTAGGAGGGTATGCATTTTGTTTCCTGACCCAGGATGATGACTGTTTATTAATTGATGACTCCAAAGAGCAATGCTCATGGATCTATGTGCTGAATTTAGTCCAGTCCAATTGGAGAGACCAACCTTCCTGACCAACCTTCCTCTAGAATTCCCTTTTTTTATCTGTGAAATATTGAAAAAATTGGAAAGGTCCTGTCCAGGGGTGATGCTGAGAAACTAGTCCATGCATTTGTTACTTCAAGGCTGGACTTCTGTAATTCTTTACTAACAGGAAGTCCACAAACTGTAGTTAAAAAGCCTTCAGCTGATCCAAGATGCTGCAGCCAGAGTTCTGATGAAAAATGAAAAGAGAAATCATTTATCTCCCATCCTGGCATCTCTTCATTGGCTTCCTGTTAAATCCAGAATAGAATTTAAAATCTTCCTTCTCATGTATAAAGCCTTAAACGGCTAAGCTCCATGTTATAACAGAGATATGATTGTTCCTTATATTTCTAACAGAGCACTTTGCCCTTAATCTGCAGGTTTACAAGTAGTTCCTAGAATTTTAAGAGTAGAATGGAGGCAGATCTGTCATGATCTTGGCGCTGATGGTTTGGTTTTTTCCTTTGCTCATTGCTCCCCTGTCTAATTGGTCCAACGGCTGATTAATGCCAATCATTTCCACCTGGCTCCTCTGTTATTTATATTGTGTGTTTGCCTTCCATCAGCGCCAGGTTATTTGAGTGTTTTGGTGAGACTAACTCTAGCATTCTTTAGTCTGTTTTGTTTTCCTGATCTGTTTTTGACTGATTCCTAGATTCTCTCGGCTTCTGAACCTGGACCTGCCTTCTGACCCCGGCTTTGGATTTCCCCTTTGGACTCGGTTGCTGTTCAGCGTCGGCTGGCACCTGCTCCACTCGCTCTCCAGGAATTCTGGAGGCGACGCCCGCCGCAAGTTGTGGTGTAACTTCCCATCTGGATTCAGCCGTGTTCTCCGTGAATGGACTGAGCTTTGAATAAGGTCAGTGACTTTGCTCCAAGTCATTATCAGCCCAACAAATCCAGTCACTGACCTGTATTCTCCTATCTCTGCGGAGATCTACCCTGCGCTTTGTTTGTTTTTATAAACGCTTTGAACTTTCCCACTGCCTGTCTCGCCTCGAATTCTGGGTCCAACATCCTGAGTTCATTACAAGATCTTTTAGCTTTCAGGCTCCTCTCCTGTGGAACCAACTACCGGTTTTATTCTGCGAGGCAGACACCCTGTCTACTTTGAAGGTTAGGCTTAAAACTTTCCTTTTTGATAAAGCCTATAGTCAGAGTGGCTCAGGTTATCCAGAGATATATCTATAGTTATGCTGCTATAGGTTTAGACTGCTGGAGGACATAAGGACCCTTTTTCATAATTCTGCTTCATTCTATCTCTATTCTCCCATTCTGCAGAATGTCTTAGTTCAATCTTTAACGCTATGCTCTGTCTGCTTTTTCTCATCATAGTAAATTAATCTGGTCTGTTTCTGTTTGGCTGTGACACAATCTTGGAGATTAATATAACACCTTTGTTTGTGGATGTTGGAACTTGGCCTGTTTTTCAGTGTAGTCTTGTTTTTCTGCCTCTGACTAACTGAATGGGCTCTCTTTTCTCCTCTGATGTAGGAGCTAGCTAGGAGCTCGCCAGCCTGGCTGTGTGTTTCCTGGACGGGGCCGTCTGTGGAGCTGGTTGACAGTTGCCGTCTAAAGTTGTCTAAAGTGTTGCTACAACCATGCTTGGTGTGAGCGATTGCCTACAATTTAATTAGTCAATCTAATCAACTGGTCTTCTTTAAATAGAAAACTTTGAATCAGTTTAATTGTATGAGTGTTTGAATTGTCTCTGAGAAGTGCCTTGAGAAGACGTGTTGTGAATTGGCACTATATAAATAATCTCAACTTAATTGAAGACATGAAACACATTTTAACAGAGGATTTATATGTTCTCTCCTACTTCTGGACTTGAAAAACGTATAATCATGGCTCGTATAGATAGGACATTGCAGTCCTATCTATACACAATAAAAGCTCTTATCTTAGAACTGATACTGATCTTATTCAATTATCAGATGGACAGGAAAACGGGACACTGTATTTCTAGTAATTAAGGCAGACATTGCAGTACTGCTCTTCAGAACTATCACTATACTTTCGCTGACAGTTTAAAAGGACCAAATCTTGCACACATCCAACCTTACTCTAAGGATTGTATCTGAATGTTAATATACTGTAATAATGCATAATTGTATCGAAGGCACACTTAGCAGAAAAAAAAAAAAACTCTTAGAACTTGCTAGAGTAAAAACATCCCATAAGGCTATTTGGTCAGACATCATCAATGCATTAACTGCAACATAATGAAGAACAAAACTATAAAAATCCTTCATCTAGGGACATGAAACGCTTTTCTTGGAATCTAGGCCATAATTCCAGTGTTGGTGAGAGAAAAATCACTTCTCCCTTAGAGGGTGTGTAAATCTAACAGGGCCACGGTCCCCTGTTAGTTGCTGGCACAATAAAAGGGATTGTCAGAAATGAACTGGTGGAAATAGGTTAATTTACAACCACATTCATCTCTTTGATTCTGTTGTAAATTGACAATAATAAAACCTACAGAATACATGACAACTAATAAAACTTTCCACCAGCTTCACATCAAAGTTACATTCCTCCTTTCAAGGCTTGTTGACCAAGTGAAGTTTGATAGTTGCTTCAATTAGGTTGTGAACCTGGGGGTAGGTATTTTTTTTTCTAAATAAGAAAAAAAATTGTACCCAACATGTTAGGAATAAGAATGACAGCTTGAGAGCAGAAGATTTTTTAATACCCAAGACAGTCAGCACAAAGTTAGGTAAGCTTTAAATCAAAGTTTGAAAAACTATCATGCTCTGGAACTCACCATAGAAAGACAGCTTTCCTTTAACTGAGTTTCTTCCTCTGCTGTTTTCTGCTATGCATTCATACATCCCCGAATCCTCTTGTTGGAAATAAGGGATCTCTAAAACTCCGCTGGCTTTATTCACATCCACCTTCCTGCCAAAAGGGGCCCGATCCACCCTTTTCCAGCTTATGGTTGGCACTGGGCTGGATGTGACGAAGAGAAAATCAAAGATAACAACCTCTGAGGTATTTTGAAAGAAATACAAGCAATGACAGTAAAGCACTTAACAGGATGAAGCTTGTAACCTTCACATAAAACACTGATTGTTTGCAATCACTGTGCCCTCAAAATCCATTCAATTGCCTCAACACTGTTCCATACTTAATCTGCAGGTTGTATAAACAAATAATGAAGGGTTTGATGTCTTGAGATGAGAAAAACACACTTTCCAAGTGCAAAACATTCCAGTTTGACAGTTGAGCTCTTAGCGACAGGGACGACTTCAGGGAGCTGCACTTCAATTTTAGGCTCGTATTCACCCATCACACCTGCAGAAACAAAGAAAAACAAGGTGTCACATCCCCCGCATGTCTCACAAAAATGAATTCAACTCAAGGCCAGGAAAAGGTTACAAATATTCCAAAGGGAAAAAAAGGAGCTTCAAATGGTAAGGTCTATATCACCCAGTTACATGCAGGTTACCAGCCACCCCTCTTTATTGTAGATCTTTGAATTACAGTACCTTGAAAACATTCTTATTGTTTAAATGTGATTTTTTCATAAGAGTAAGTTCCATGTATTTGTTGAGACTTAATGTGATAGACGTACACAAAGGAGTGTATATAAAAATGGGAAAATGATGCATGGTAACTCTGAGTTTGATTCAAATACATATCTAAAAAGAAGGGTATTAGCTGTCAGCCATAACTGGTAGATCGTGTTATGAGATAATTTATAAGAAAGTCAAAAGCAGCAGAATAAAACATGTGGGAGATACAGAAATCCTGTAGCAAGGGAAAAGTCAAATTATTTGGCCTACCTCCAAAATTCTACCTGTGGCTATAATTAACCCTGAATATCAACCCTAAACGCATGCACTGTGATTTCTATGAAAGTGCTGTTTAAGGATTCCCTTCATTAAGATCAACTTTATTAGATTAATTTTTTTTGCCAAGAACAATAAGCAAAACCATAGTTTGTGCATTTGCAAAGCTTGTAAAGACAAAGATGAAAAGATGTAGTCCATTTCAGTATCTGTTGATAATCACACATCATTTTCACATATTAATCACATATTATCTATGCTGTTGATATTAAGTGCAAATAAAATGCATTCTTACTTGATTATAATGTTATTTTCACATGAATATTCCAATCAATATAATCTTAAAATGACAAAATATTATAAATGGGACACTGCATAACCACAGCTTAAAAATGCTTGTTATTTTAAAGTAGTCATTTAAAATTTGGAATAGAAAGTTTCATTTTTTCTTTCCAACAAAATTATAGTGAACATAAATAGACAACCGCCAAATTAGTGATTTTGAAAGCCAAGTTAGATATGAAGTAAAATGCAGCTGGTTGAATTTACTGCCAACAGATTGCAAACACAGACCTTTTGGCAGCAGTCACTAAAGTCTCAACACCTGTGATTTAAAAAGAATCGACTGAGCAGAAATAAAATTTGGATCTGCATCTCCTTCATGCAGTTAGATAAAACTTAGGAAGGGTTCTCCGTTACCATCAAGCCGGAGGACTAAAGGTGTTGGTGGTCCTTGAACACTGCTTTTGGTGACAGTGTTTGTGACCACACACGTGTAGTTGCCCACATCAGAGGGTTCCACTTTGGCAATATAGAGATTGCCTGTCTTCTGGGAGATAAACCGCCGTGTGTCCTGGATGACAAAAGACGGGTACGCGTTGAAGATCCAACTGAAAGTGAGTTCTGCAGAAAGAGCCAAAGAAAGTTTTGCGTAAATATATGCAACCAACAGAACATGCTCTGGTTTTATAGATCATCTGAACATATGTGCACATTCAGTGGGTTTCATCTGCCGTCTTATCACAACCTTGTAAGAAGATGCCCTAAGGGATAAAGCAATTAGTGCATAGAAATGGGAGCCAGATTTTCATGATTAAAAACATAATTTATAATTAAAGACCAGTTACTTCTACTACTTATTTTAATATTGTAAATAAAAAGCATTCCAACATATATGCTAAAGTAATGAGGCTGGGAGGTTGGATAAAGGTTTTTGCTTTATTATCATAAGTTATTATTTTTTTTATCTTATACAAGATTATTTTAGATTAGTTTATTTATATGGAATCAGAACTTTGCTTTAGTATTCCTCTGGTATTTTGACAGCATCTGGAAAAGTGGAACAAAATTAACTAGACCCTTCATCCCCACAAATTCCCACAACTGTTGAATAAAGTGGCATCTCACACTGCAGGATAAAACTATTTGTAAATGGATCCATTCCTTCTCCATTTGTAAATACAAGAACCAGGTAAAAATAATGAGGGAGGCAAGAAAATAAGGGGTTCATAGAAGCAGACTTGAACATTTTGTTTGTTTGTTTTTTGCTGATATTTTTTCATGTAAAGATTTGAAGCAAAGATAACTAATATATTCCAGGATATTATTTCCATTATTTTCACATTCTTATGTGATGTTAGTGGTTTCACACACTCCTTTTAAAACCAGAGGGGATGGTTCATTTCCGACAGTGGCTCTGAGGCTGTGGAATGCTTTGCCTCCTTCTTTACGCTGTATGAATTCTGCTGATTCTTTTAAAAAGCAACCAAAGACTTCGCTATTTAAGCAGGCTTTAATTAGACGTGTGGTTTTTGTGGCTTTGTTTGTATGTTTCCATTTGTTTTTAAAATGTTGATATACATTGTATTCTACATTTTTATCGTATTATATTTTCACTGTGAAGCACTTTGTGATTTTTATCTGTGAAAAGTGCTATACAGATACATTTAACTTACTACCTTTTTGTTTGTTTTATTTAATAATCTTAGCCTATATATTTTACATATATATGTGTGTATCTGTGTACATATTTCATATTTATTTTGTAATATTTTTACACTACACAGAAAAATAAACATGAATACAAAAGATATAAATAGTGAATTTTAGATGTATCCCATTATTAAACCATAAGCTTGAATATAATGTATCCCTAGCTTGCAGAGCTACAACAGCCTATATGGAGGCTTTACCCAATGTTTATGTAACAATTACTGAAAATTATTGTACAATTTGTTAGGCTAAAGTTGAATAAAAAGGACTATCTCTAATCAGTGCTCAGGATATTCTGTTGGTTTGACTTCATGTTGTGCAAGTCAGTCAAGTTGTTTAAGCCAAGCCTAACTTTTGAAAAATAGACCCACACCAAAATACCTTCAACACCAGAGTTTATACTTGATACAAAACAGTAACTTTCAAACAGAATACACATTTGTTTAAGAGTTTTTGTTCTTCCAGGAACTGTTACATAGTAAAACACCAACTGTTAATCAAACAGCTACAGTCAAATATAACTGTTTCAACATTCGGTCCAAATCAGTGTAAAATTTACTCTATAGCCAGTGTCAACTTTTGAGATAATTTTACTAATTTTAGTGTCAGGAAGACCTCTAAGAGTCTGGCAGGTAATCGAAAACATATAGAGTAAAAGTTACATTGCATGGCTGTCAATTTTTTAACTGATTATTAGCTTCAACACTTTAACAGATTCACACTCATAATAGTTGTTAATACTCTATTTAGAGTAAAATTGATTGGCTGTAAATTTTAAACATAATATTTTTACAGTGTAGATCACACTGTTCTATTAGATTTAAAGAGATAAAGTTTTTATCTTTCCCAGAAAACACATTTCCATTGTTCTGACCCCGAGAAATTGTGTTTTACATCACTGCACTTGATGTTTTACATTTAACATGGTCATATAAGACTTGAATGGTCATTAAAAGTCATCAATGAAGCTCTCTATAGTTTCAACAGAGTACTAATTTGCTACCTGAATATAAATGTCAGAATTTTTAGATATTGTAAAATATTTAATAACTTTTTCTAATCTCTTATCTTGCATTTACTAATTCTAAACAACATTTTTCTAGGCATATCTTTTTATTTAAAACTCCAGCGAATTACACTTTAGTTTGAAGGTGAAACACATCCAAATGAGAAAACATTCCAGCTTTATGACCACTTTTGCAAAATAATGCATAATATTTTGAACTTCGAACAGGAATCTTGCTTTGAAACTTGTGACCACATTCTAAAAATGTAATACCCTATGAAACCATTATATTACAGATTGTTTTATTCTGTTTTATACCCCCTCTTCTAATACTCATTATCTAATGTAACAAGTTTCAGGGAAAGAGCTGCTATACTCCCAGCCAAATAGAGTGCAGTCATAAAAGCTTTTGCACTAACAGCGACATTACAAGGCTGAATATTGGTGTTTTGACATATTGACATAAGGATAAATTGCTCTGGACCACACTGCATCCCTGTCCCAAAAGCAATCTAAGCTGTTTGTAAAACTTGTCTAAGTGATGACTTTGCAGTATAGCGCTGAGAATAAGTAAGATGCAAGGTGTACATTTATTTACCCCTGCATGGAGAGGGACGCCTGGCTCTTGCAGCCTTGCAATTGTAACAGAATATTGAGAACTGCCTGTTTCTGTCATTTCTCTATAGTCATCTCAACTCCTTTTTATTTGATTTCTCCCACCTGTCTGATAAATAACTTCAACATTTCAACTTCTTTGCCTATTAACTTTCAACCTTTTAAACAGTTGTGCCCTGCTACATTTCCATGTGGTCTTTAAGTCAGTGCCTTTACACTTTCTCCTGTTATATTGTGCAGTTTGCTTACAGGGCTATCCGAGGAGAACAGGATGCCAGTCTTACCATTCTGGATAAAGTACAGAGTTATTTAAATTTCCTTAAAATATATGTAGTTTAGCTGAACATTTTTATGTGCTTGTGTGATCCGAGTGGCAGTAGCTGTCTTGTCATTGTGTCATAAATCAAAGCATTTCTACAGTAGCAGCCATTCAAAATGGCCCTTCCCAGTCAAATACCAGCAGAATGGCAGCCGACTTCCCTGCGACTCCCAGCAAAATACCCTCAAACTTACAGCCATTGGAGTGACCCCTTCTTGCATATTTTTTTTACTCTGACTCCTCCCTTTCACTGAATTTCAGGGTCTGACCAGGATATGATGCTTCTCTTTAGATCTTGTTGTCCACAAGTCGTGACAGAAAGAACATTTTAGTACAAAAATCTATGTTTAAAAAGCCATTGTAGAGGACCAGCCAAGGGCCCATCAAGGAAAATGGGGAAATTTTGAATGGCTACTACTATAATAGGAGACCACAGCAAGCCTATATTGACAGTGTTTTATCTGACTCAGGGTTCCAACCACCGGTGTTCCACAGGGCTGTGTCATGTTTCTGTTCTATTTTGTATACTAATGAGCTGTAATTTGACAGCACTTTTTTATCTTTCAAATTATCCTAATGACATTGCTCTGGTTGCGTTCATATTGGATGCTGATAGTCTTTTAACCTTACACTTTCCTCATGGTTCAGTGACAGCTACTGGAACCTTATTTTTTTTTTTTAAACTAAGAAATATCTTTAAAATATAATTCAGGCACAATAGCTACTGTGCCTTCTTTAAGACCCGTCCTCATGGGAGAGCAGGTAGAGGAACAGACAAAAGATTTTTATATCTAGGGGCAATCTTAGATGACAGGATGACCTTCCAGCCAAATGTTGACTATGTGTATGAGGAGTCTAGACAGCCTCTTTTTCTCTTAAGGAAAATAAGGTGCTTCAAGAAGAAAACACAGCATTCAGCTAGTCTATTGGGCCCTCATTGAAAGTGTTCTTCTTTATTTATATAAAGGTTTTTAGACCCTTATCGATAGAGGCAGAAATTAGCTGAAACAAGCCGGTAAGATAATTAGTCATCAGTTAAATTTATCCTCCTGATCTACATTAACATGCTGAGAAAAACACAATAACTCAGATTTACAATATGTCCTTCAAACCCTCTCTTAGCTGCAGCCATTTTTTAGAAGATTGAAGTTCCCATTGAGAAAACAAAAAGGAGAACAACTATACCAATTTAATCAACCTTAGATATGTTGAATCAGTACAAGGGATGACTTAAATAGACCTTCATTGACTAGATTATTGTTGTATTTTAAAGATAAAAGCGATTTTAAGAAACATTGTTTTTTTTTTATATTTGCACAGGTTTATAAAGCAGTGGTTAAAGTTCCAGTGTGTAATAACTCCACGGATTTACTGACAGAAATGTAACATAATATACATAAGTTTGTTCTTTATTATTTTACATGAACTGAAAGTCTCAATCTTTATGTTTGTGTTGCCTTAGGAATTTGTATTGCAAACAAACCTTGTCTACACTTGACAAGAACCATTTTGTACCATGATGGCCTCTGGTTTGTTGGTGGGGGAGAAGCGGTGGCGGGAGCAGTTCATGTCGCTGCAGTCTGAACATTAGATGTAGCTGAACATCAGACACTGTTGCTTTAACTAAGTGGTTTTTAATCTGTGTTTGTTTTATGAAAGATTCTTGCTAGATATCACATAGCCCCATTTCCGAGGTGATGCGCTTTAAGGTGTGAGAAATAGATAATTCTTTGCATTTCCATAATGAATCCATCTTTAAGCATACTTTCAGTCTTTGTGTGTTTTCTTCTCAGGAGGCAGGATGTTAATCAATGACCCAAATAAAAACTATGCATTGCAGGTTTTGTTTGAATATAACCTTATACTCTGATGCAATACCTTCTATGAGTTGTCAAATAAAAGTTTGGAATTAAGTCCTGTTTTCCCTGCTGTGAATAAACATTGCAGACCCTAGCATATCAATGTGATGAT